CACTACTGCACGGTCCTACAGTCTAATCACTTCTTCAAGGCCCCACCTTTCAATTACCATAATAAGATTTCCTACCCTCTTGACAGTCACAGTGGGTAAATAACAAACTGTAGTGAGTTTTGCAGAGATGTAATTCAATCCACTGCAATCACATATCTGTAAAAGGGTTGACATCCAGCCTTCAAATAGGCATTAAAATTAATAAGAAAAACATAAAATTTTCATCAGAGATGAGGAAGTCCACTTAGTCAATAAATATATGAACAACTTCACAAATTCCCTTATCAGGAAAATTCAAATAAAATAACAATGTGTTACTATTTATCAGTATGGTAAAGTGATACAGTGTATTTTCGCACATTGTTTTGGAAAAGTTACCGCCTTTTGAATCAGTCTGGCAGTATATTTTACAACGAAATTGAAAAAACTATTTTTTGAACCAACAAACACAATCCTGGGAATCTGTTTGATAGAAATAAAGGATATATGGATAACGTTTTTTATTACAGAATAGGTTGTAGCAGCAAAAACTAGAAAAACATTTGGCAAATGGATGAATTAAGTATGGCATGATCAACAATGGACTATTACATGGTTGCATGAACACTGGATTATTTGGAGGGATTTTTCTGTGGTAAAAGCGATCTGCAAAAAAGTATATATAATATGATATATTATTGTAGGAAAAAAAAAAAGCCAGTACCTGTGTATCTCTGTCTGTCTGTCTGTCTCTCTCTCGCTCTCCCTCTCTCCCCCCTCTTTCTGTGTGTCTGTGTGTAATGACATGAGAAAAGTGAAGAGAGATCCATACTGGTTTTCAGGAAGTGTTAGGTGAAGAGAAAGGGAGGGAGATATGGACAAAACAAAGAATAGAAAAATTGTCCATGATTTTTAAAAATAATAAAGCATGTGTGATATATATTTATTTCAACTCATTTAATAGTGTGTGTGTGTGTGTATGTGTGTTTTGAGTGCTTAAGGAAATAAATGAAAAAACATAAACAAATATCCTTATACAAAAGAGTTTGGCTACTGTTAGCTGCATTATTTGGGAAATTGATGTAAACTCTCTTTTCCAATTCCACATCCTGCCTCCCTTCAAAAGTGAAGAAATAAAAAATGCCAACAGGATTAAAGGGCAGAATGCACTGGACACACCACTGGAATTTTCAACTATTTCTATTATATCTAAGTACATCAAGATTCCCTAACAACATACCTTCTCTGTGCCCTTGTTTGAAGAAAGGAATTTTGAGTTAGATTTTACTTTGTAGTAAAAATTTATTTATTCATCCTTTCATTCAACAATAATAAAAACATAGAGTGTTGTCACTGAATCAAGCAATTTAGACTCTGGAACATGATCAATGAGACATGGTCCCTGCCCTGATCTACCAGCAGATTCAGGGACAAAGATCATTACTTTGAGGGTGGAATACATGACAGGTGAATACTTGAAGTTCTGTGCTAGTACAAAAGAGAAGTGAAGAATGAATCAAGCTTAATTTTTGTTTGAATGGATCAGAGAGATAGAGCCTATGATTATTTTATACTATGGTTTGTAATGAATCCATTTTGAGTATGTCAGTATGTTATTGAATTGAATTTCAGGAATTTAAATGTATCATTTTAAATATAATACGGTCAAGATTTTTGTAGGACACATTACTTTACTCATTGAATATTTCATTTCTTGTTGATAAAACATCTAGAATTTTGGGAACCTTAGATGTATTCCTGAGAGTAATTATAAATTTTTTTGTATGCAAAAAAGATGTAAAGAACGTTTATTCCCCCAAATAAAAACTTGTGCATAGGTTCATTATACTATCTGCTCAGTAAAATATAATATACAAATAAAATACATGAGTGTATATATGCATATATATTTTATATATATGGATAATTTAATATGACAGCATGACTTTATTTTACAAGCAAATAATGAATCTAATGTATTTTTTTAAATAACTTTAAAATTTACTTATAATTTAAGGGTTAATTTGACAAAGGCCAGGATGGCTTCACTGGTATGTGACCTTGAAGTTGCACAGGACCCCACTCTCAGGAGGACCCCATGCTTGGTTTAATGCTCTGCTGCCAACGTCTTGACATTCTTAATAATTTTGTCTTTGAACTTTGTAAGTGAAGTCTACTGGGACAATAGAGCATGAACATGAGCAGCAGAGCTGCAGGGTAGCAGCAGTACACACCCAGGTTCAGGCCTGCTGGCACAGAGGGAAGCACAGATGCCAAGCGATTGGCCTAGCAGTCATATGCATGACTCAGCAGTCTGATGCTATATGTCCCCAATGTGGCCACACCAGAACTGGGCCTGGATAAGCTGTGGCACCAGTAGCAGCTGAAGCAGCAGCAGTGACAGAGGTGATCACGGGAGATAGGAGTGGATCCCATGGTGAGAAGCCAGATTGCTGATCAGTCTGAAGAGCCCATCCCTGCAGTATGTACACAGATATTAAATCTCTTGCCTAAATTCCAAGATGGTACCTGTAGCACTCAAGTAGTAAGCTTTGTCAATAAACTATTACAAAATAAGTGTGTGTGCATGGGCATCACAATAAGCACTTCAGAGAGTTATTAGAATTCTTTGCAGCTTGACTGCTACAGTGCACAGCTTGGGAGCGTGGCGGCACTCCCGCCGAGGGTTTGGATCCCATATACAGACCGATTCCTGCTCACTGGCTGAGCGAGGTGTGGGCGTAACACCGAGGGTTGTGATCCCATTGCCGGTCCCGGTCCGGTACGGGCGTGACACTGAGGGTTGCGATCCATTGCTGGACACGAAAAAAGACAAAAAGGAAAGAAAAAAAAAAAGAATTCTTTGCAGCTTGTGATGTCCAGTTTTGAAAACTGCTGCAACGTTGCAAAGCAAATGTCCACAAGCTTAGGCATAGAAATTAAATTTAAGGTTGACATTTGATGGAAAATACCACAATTTTCATCTGAAGTTTTAAATGAACCAATTATTAACAAGGAAGTCAGTTTTTAAATTTCATTTTCCTTATAACTGAAAATACAACAATAGAATATTTAAACAGGCATTTTGAATGATATGCAAACTTTGAAACTACTTTTGGTTTCTTGCATGACCTTGACAAGTTACAGGAAATATCAGAGGAACATTAAAATACCAATGCATACGTTTACATTTAACATTAAACTCAATAAAAGGCTATGTAAGTGATTCTTGTGATGAAATCGTTCTGTATCTTGACTATGGAGATGAATAAACAAAAGTACATGTGATAAAATTGTGTAGAACTAAATACACATACACACAAACGTCAATTAGTATATTGAAATTAGTGAAATAGGAATGAGATCAGTAGATTGTATCAATGAAAATTTCCTGGTTGTGACATTGTATTACAGTCTACAAGATGTTACTTTTGGAGAAACTGAGTAAAGAGTGAATCTTCTCTATTATTTCTTACAGCTTACCTGTAAATCTACAATTATCACAAAATAAAAAATTTAATTAGAAAATAAAATTCAGATGTACATGAAACTGATTTGTATGAAGGTGAAGAGTTAAATCTTTATGGAAAAATTCTTCAAGGAGAATCATCAGCTCCAGATGTACTAAAATTTATATTTTAAAATAATCAGAAATTTATCCCAATGTTGTCACAGCCTATAAAATACACTTGGTAGCTCCAGTAATGGTTGAATCAACAGAAAAATCTCAAAACTAAAAAAAAACAAAAATTATTTGTGATCTTGCATTAGTCAAGAGCAACTGATATCGCTTTCAATTTTGTCATTGAAAATGAAGTTGCTAATTGTCTAAATATCGATGACCTAAGAAATATATTTGCTGAAAAGCCAGAAAAATTTTATTATCAATCAAGGCATCACATTAATACAGTATTATTTATGTATTACATATAATTATGACCCAAAATATTAATTATTATAATTTGTAAGTTTATATTGTTACCCATCCATCATTATTATCACTAAGTTTTATAAGTAATGAAATATTTTCAAAGGAAAAATCTTGCATTTCATTATCTTTAACAGGACTGTTCTTCCTGCATTTTGAACAAGGAGCCTCACATCTTCCTTTTGCAGTATCTTTAGTAAATGACATAAGCACTGAGTTAGGGAGTTTGATACAAATTTATCAAAATTTTTTTTTACATTTTATCAAAGGGTGGTAGGTAAAATATATTGAACATCTTTTTTTTGTAGAATTGAGCTTGGAAGAAAGTCTTGAAATGACACCAGAAGTTACAATTAATAACTAATGTCAGAAGTCAGCTGCTTCTTCAGAACATTAGCCAAGGTTTTCTTTAGCTCATTATATTTTATTTTATTATTTTATAAGAAGCCAACAAGATTCACCCATCTTCAATTCTGACATTTGAATTCCAATATACATTGCTCTGAGAGGGGACTTGGAGGAAGCCTTTATGTTTATCAGACCTGTATTTCCAACATAAGTTTATTTTTCATTTAAGAAAGATAACAGTATTAAAGAACACACAAATACTATATCAATATGGATTTTAAAAATCTGAACATAGTGGTTTTTATTTTTAAAAATTCCTATATTTAGGCTCATATGCTTCACATCCATCTGCTGAATTTCTCAGCTTGTAAATATATTACTAGAGAATGACCAGACTTCCTTGAAACTTTAAAATGACCCCATCAACATTCATTCTTGGCATTGTTATGTGATACTGACACCATTATCTCAAAAGGAATTTTAGTTTTCAAATCAGCAAACTTAAAATTGACTAAGAAAGCATGTATTAACAGTAGACTTTTTCTATTTCATTATGTTAGGCAAGATTTGGAAAACATCAAGTCATTTGATGAGCAGTTAGTGAGAAGTACATATGTAAATGCTCCATTATAAGGATTTTCCCCTATACTCACTATAGTATAATGCTCCTGTGTACAGGTCATACTCACTTTTCATTCTGCTATCCTAATGACTCAGTCTATTTTCTTTTTCTCTCATGTTCCAGAATGATTCTTGGGGAAAGCAGTATTCATACGCACTCTTCAAAGCCATGAGTCACATGCTGTGCATCGGGTATGGAGCCCAGGCCCCGGTCAGCATGTCAGACCTCTGGATCACTATGCTGAGCATGATTGTCGGGGCCACTTGCTACGCCATGTTTGTCGGCCATGCCACGGCATTAATACAGTCTTTGGATTCTTCAAGGCGGCAATATCAAGAAAAGGTAATTTGTTTGTCTCTAATATCTTCAATCCAGCTAGTTAGTAAATTGAATTAATTGTGTTCAAGTTAACTAAACTATCTCTAACTATCAAAAACAGAATGAGCTAAAATATTTAAAGAAAACACTATCTGTTTTGATTTTTTGAGGTTTCTTCAAGATGTTCCTAATAGCTTTTATCTATTTTTAAACAATAAATCTTATTTTGCATCTATGGAAAAAATAGCGACATGTTTCAAAATGTATGAAACTGAGATAAGATGTTATCATGGTTCATGACCTATCATATTTCAATAGTTATATATATATATATATCACATCTATTATATAAACCCTTCTCTAGCATATGTTAGAAAAAAGCTTATTTATTTATTTATTTATTTTTATTTTTTTAATTTTTATTTTGTCAATATACAATGTGGTTGATTATTGTGGCCCATTACCGAAACCTCCATCCCTCTTCCCTCTCCTCCCTTCCACCCAACAATGTCCTTTCTGTTTGCTTGTCGTATCAACTTCAAGGAGTTGTAGTTGTTATATCTTCTTCCCCCCTGTTTTTTTTTTTTTTGTGTGTGTGTGTGTG